GAAAGCCTCTGCCAGAAGCTTTTGGTCTGATGCTGCAGCAGATCCCCTGTGATCCATCACAGGGTGCTGGGGGTCTGCTCCAACACCAGGCTGAATGCCTCCATCGGAGGCTTTTGGCCTGGCGCAGGAGTGGACCCCCTGCGACTGATTGCAGGGAGCTGGAGATCTGCTCCTGCCCAAGAGGCTTTGGGCCTGGGCAGGCCTCAGCAGAGGCAGAGCCAGTGATCAGATGGAGATGGAGGGGCCCTTTCCAGGCCTAAAGCTTCAGCCAGAGGCTTTAGACCTGGGTAAGGCCCAGCCCTTGATTGGTGTGAACTAAAGAGAAAACACCTTTTCTGACTGCATAGTGGCCAAGCTTCCTGTATGCAATTGGTAATATTCTTAGTAACTTGGGTAATAAGACTCCAAAAAGGTGATCTAGGGTTTTTCCACCACACTTTTGGAGAAAAATACGAAGGTCGGCTGCTGGAAGGCTACAGAATGTCATATCCTGCCCTAGCCAGTTTAACTGAGTGGAAAATGCCTTGGCTTGCTGACTCAGGATCCAGGTTTGATTCTGATCAAGGGCATGTACCTAGGATGCAGGATTCTCCCTGGCTGGGGCCCAGATCAGGGCTCATGCAAGAGGCAACCAATCAAAGTGTTCCTCTCACTTTGATGTTTCTGTCTTTTCCTTTCTCTTCCACATTCTCTAAATGTCAATGGAAAAATGTCCTCAGGTAAAGAGAAAGAAAGAAAGAAATGCATATCCTATGAAAGACACATCTTGAAAATGCCTAAAGAAGTTGTAATTTTTTCTTGGTGAAGGGACTGGAGTCCGTGTTGATGAAAACACCTTGGTGGCTGCAGTGACTGGCAGTGGCTGCAGCAGCCGGGTGATGGGGCTGGTGCCTTCCCCTGATCAGCCCGGTTGCCTTCCACAAAGGGAGTAGTACATCCCCTGAGAGCTCCCAGAATGTGAGAGAGGGCAGGTTGGGCTGAGGGACCCCCCCACCCCCAGTGCACAAATTTTGTGCACCAGGCCTTATAATAAGAAAAGAAAAAATCACACAATTGTTTGTTCTTCAGAAAGAAAGTATGCTTCATTGTGTCCAGATACTGTACACATAGTGTTATTCTATTGAAAAGATAATTTTTTTTTATTTCTAAAAGGGAAAATCTATTAATCTCACCACCAGACTATAAGCCTGGGTTTTAGTGACACAGTCTTGATTTAAAATTTTAGCTCTCCCTTATGCTGGAATTACCTTGGATAATATACTTAGCTTGTCTGAGCTGGAGTGTCTTTACCTGCACAGGAGAAATGGTACCTTCTTAACAGGAGGGTGAGGGGCAGTTAAAGTGCTCCACTGTGCACAGTTTATCATGTATGCTCAATAAACATTTGTTGTTTTTCTTGTCACCCCAAATCTGAGCTCTCCAAAAGTATCTCTTAAAGAGCAATCAGTACATATTTCATAGAATCTTTAAAAGGAAACTCAGCATCCATCAAAACTGAAATCTCTAGGGAAAACCAAGATGGTGGCCTAGGTACCCACTAAAACTGCTGCCTCTCACAACAATTTCAAAATAACAACTAAAAGACAAGAACAGACATCATTCAAAACCACAGGAAAGCTGGCTGAGCAGTAAGTCTACAACTAGAAAGAAGGAGAGAGGCTCACGGATTGGATGGGAGCCGCAAAGCGCTGAGGTAGGGAGACACTCGTGCAGAGAGGAGGAACAACTGAGTGCCAGGCTGGCTGGAGGGGAAAGGAAGCCCATGACTGCATTGAATCCCAGTTCCAACTGCACTGAACCCCAGCCCCAGCCGAAATCCCATGGACCCAGGCTCATATGGGTGGAGTCTGGACTGTAGAAAGGCACCCAGAGATTCAAAGACTGGTAGACCAGGGAAGCCTGGAGCTGCAGCACACAAGTGAATCACACAGCGAGGCCTGACTGCGGAGGTTGCTGAGGCCTCTCCATAGCGGAAGTAGTCCAAAGCTCCTAACTGCACTGAACCTCCAGTTCTGACTGCACTGAGCACTGAAACCCAGTTCAGGATGAGCCCCAGAAGCAATCACACTCTTACAAGGGGAATCTGGACGGTGAGGCAGAAACTCAGGGGACCCGTGGAAGGCAGAGGTCTGAGGCCCATGCACAAGGGCAGGATTGACAGGAAGCCAAGACTGGCAGCTCAACTCTGAGACTCTGCCCCATCCAAGCTGAGCTCAGAGGCTTTTGCAATTTTGCAAGTCTGACCCTATAAGACTGTCTCCAACAGAAGGTAGACACAGCTGACACATCCAATAGGCCTGGAGGTCAATTCCTCCCAGTGATACCAACAACAATCAAGACTTAACTACAACAAGGCTGTACACACTCCACAAAGGGGAGCACCAAGAGTGTCTACCTGAGGTAACTGGGGAGGCTGACCCATCGGGCCATATAAGACACCAAACACAACTCAGGGAAGCAGCAAAAATGCAGAGACAAGGAAAGAGATCTCAAACAAAAGAAATGGACGAGAATAAAAGACTGGATATAGAGTTCAAAACCACGATTATAAGGTTTTTCAAGAATTTCCTAGAAAAGGCTGATAAAGTTAACGAAACTCTCGAGGATATGAAAAAGGGCCAACTAGAAATTAAACATACACTGACAGAAATAAAAAATATTACACAAAGAACCAACAGCAGACTAGAGGAACGCAAGAATCAAGTTAAAGATTTGGAATACAAAGAGGCAAAAGACATTCCTCTGGAGAAGAAGACAAGAGAATCCAGAAAGTTGAAGATAGTGTAAGAAGCCTCTGGGACAACTTCAAGCATACCAACATCAGAATTATGGGAGTGCCAGAAGAAGAGAAAGAGCAAGAGACTGAAAACCTATTTGAAGAAATAATGTCAGAAAAGTTCCCCCACCTAGTGAAAGAAATAGACTTACAAGTACAGGAAGCGCACAGAACCCTAAACCAAAGAAATCTAAAGAGAACCACATCAAGACACATCATAATTAAAATGCCAAGGGCAAAAGACAAAGAGAGAATCTTACAAGCAGCAAGAGAAAAACAGTTACCTATAAGGGAACACCCATATGACTATCAGCTGATTTTCAACAGAAACTATGCAGGCCGGCAGGAGTGGCAAGAAATATTCAAAGTGATGAATATAGAGAACCTACAACCAAGATTCCTCTACCCAGCAAAGTTATCATTCAGAATGGAAGGGCAGATAAAGAGCTTCACAATAAGAAAAAGCTAAAGGTGTTCATCACCACCAAATCAATATTATATGAAATGCTGAAATGTATTCTTTAAGAAGAGGAAGAAGAAGAAAAAGGTAAAGATGAAAATTTTGATCAGTATATATATATATACAAGCGAATTAAAAATATGAGGAACAGAATAAACTGGTGAATATAATAGAATCAGGAGCAAAGAAAGAGAGTGGGTTGATAATTGTCAGGGGAAAAGGGTTTGGGAAGTGCAGGAAGAGACTGGACTAAAATTGTACACCTATGGATGAGGACAATGTGGAGGGGGAGAGGTAAGGGCAGTGGTGGGGGGGAGAGGTAAGGGCAGAGGGTGGGGTAGGAACCAGGTGGAAGGGAGTTATGGGGGGGGGGGAGAAACAACTGTAATAATCTGAGCAATAAAGATTTTTTTTTTTTAACTGACATCTCTAGAATCTGTCCCACAGGTTCCCTAGCCAAGGGTCCCTGAGCCTTGGCAGAATGCAGCTCACTGCTTTTCAGGAGATGTAGCCAACTCCATTGTAGGACAGGACTCACCACAATTATGATAATGATGCTTTTTATTTAGCTAAAACTCAACTTCTTATAAAATTCTACCTATTGTTCTTCATTCTAACCTCTATACTCTTAAAGAAGGGATAGGTTCCCTGTTAAACCCCATGCTACTTTGTAACACCAGTACCAAACAGGTCGTTGCAAAACATAGGGCTTAGTCTAAGCATGACAGAGACCTTTTTCAGTGACACAAAGTATCACAAATTAGTAACTGAATCTTGCCCCCAGCCACTGGCAGTTTCCATACAGGTCCATCTTACTGCCCCCTTCCTTCATTCCCTACCTGCTCTTCCAACTTTGCCCTCTCTGCCTCCAGTCTACTCACCACTGTAAAGGTAGAGGTTTTTCTTCCTGAATGGAAAATGTAGCTAAACAAGATGATTGGGAAATTTTTTTCTAATTCTACCACCTCGAGTAGGGAAGGAGGTGGGCCTTAACTCAGTAGCAAGTATAAAAATACAGCAATCAGGCAATAGAACAAATAGTCACACTGATTTTATTTTATTTTTTAATCCTGTAGGCCTGAGCTCAGTGATACCTGACTGGACCATCAAATTCTCACTTTTGTATTGAAGGAAACAGAAGCTCTTCTGGATAACCTTACATTCAGCCTTTCACATACTGTCCATTACTGACTACTTCAGGGACATGAGGTTAGCTAGGAGGTATTCAATTTTCCAATGATTTATAGAAGAGCTAAGAGAATATTTCTTTATTTGAGCAGAGGCACTGTCAGAGGAAAGGTGGGTAGTTCCAAAGGCTGTTTGTTCCTGCCCTGTGCTCGATTGCAACAATGTGAGTGTCTTGTCTGCACCAGTGGATTATTAACAGAGGTCATTGGTTTCCATGACTAAGTGATTGCTCTAAACATAATCTCATTTATGGGAGCGCGCGCGCGCGTGCACGCGCGCACACACACACACACACACACACACACACACACACACACACAAAAAAAAAAAAAAAAAAAACCACCCAGGACTCCTGGTCAGGGAGAAAGTATAAATAGCTATCCGCATCAAGGTTTGCTCCATTTGAGAAGCGGAAGCAGCTCCAGTACACAGTTCCCAGGCTGACTGGCTTCTCAGCTCCAACATACGGATTGAACAGGGATATTGACTAGGACCCTTTGCTCATAACTTTGAAGAGACCCCGTGAAAGAGGCAGTGAGGGACGTTTCACCCGGTCCTGTGCCATCCTTCCCCAACATGTGCACCGGGAGGTGTGCCAAGTGCGTGGGGGGCACCCTCATCCCCCTCATTGTGTTTGGCATCCTGGCTAACATCCTTTTGTTTTTCCCTGGAGGAAAAGTGATAGACAACAACGAACACCTTTCTGAAGAGGTCTGGTATTTTGGAGGAATATTAGGAAGCGGGTTCTTGGTGAGTATTAAAATCCCCCTGAAGGAGATTTTCTCCCCATTCTTCCAAAATTGGACACTTACTAACCAGGGAGATACTTAGTTGCTAACAAAAGCCTAACCATTGCTTGATGAAAAGTCGGTGCCTTAATTGTTCCTTCTCCATTAGGGCCTGACAAGGACCTGTCTGCTGTATTTCTGGGCCATTTAAACTTGGTCTGGCGGTTCTCATGGGCCAATTAAGCTCCAGGAACCAAACTGAAGGTCTCAGAGTTTCTTAATTCAAACAAGAGAGGGTGCTATGGGGAGGAGAAGGTGAGAGTGGAAATACACTTTAGAACAAATTGATTGACTAAACCACCAAGAGCAATAAGTGTCAGAGGATTCTTCTTCCACTCTACATGAAGGCTTTCGAGCTTCTGCTTTAGAGAGAGAGACCCTATCATGACAATCCAGGACACCTGTTTTTTGTTTTGTTTTTTTCTTTTCTTTTCCTAGCCCACCATCTAAATGGAGACTGGGGGTGTCAGAGCTTGCAATCTTGGTCCATTGAAACTGCAGTTAAGTCAAATGGCATCAAAATATTTAATAACACTGATCCACCTCACCAGCCACGCTCTATCATTCCTGCCATAACCTTCAGCCACCAAAGCCCACATCATGACTGGCTCCTCACATGGCCAGGCAGGTGGGGGCCTTGCTTTCACATCCCAGACCCATACTGAGGTGCTTCTCTTGCTGACAGATGATCTTCCCTGTGCTGGTGTTTCTGGGCTTAAAGAACAATGACTGCTGTGGGTGCTGTGGCAATGAGAGTTGTGGGAAGAGATTTGCGGTAAGTTACCGGGAGGGGGCGGGCAGACACCATAATTATTCCCAAGTACACTGTCCCCTCCTGCTGGACATCTCAAGGAGTGCAGAGGAGTAACCAACCCCAAGCAGGTCTCTGGGGACAGCTGGTGCAGGGATAAAGATGTATTCTTCCTGTGGATGGAAAGTAACTATAACAATACATTTAAAATGCCACCTCTGATTTCACAAACAAGCAGAGTTGTCAAAGCTGGAGGACTGCAGTGGAGCCATATAAAGAACCAGGATGGGGAGGCAGAGATGGGGAGTGGCCCTCTCCTCCAGCCATGAGAGGCCTGAGACTCTAGACAAGTCATTTCCTTCTCTGGTCCATCTGTGAAGAGGGGTGGGAAAGATAACAAATGTAGCCTCCTATCTTCTTTAGCTCCTAAATCTCCCATGCACACCACTGCCAGTTCACTATCTCAGTGCCCAGCTCTTCCCACTTCTCCCTGCATTTTCCCTTAGGACTTCTTCCTTCATGCAGCCATCCATATTTTCACAGACAGGTAGAGAGATTAGGCCTTTCTGTTCCTCTCAGGGTGGGAAGAATTCTGGGAAGTAAGGTCACGTCCCATTTTCACAGCTGGCCAAGTCACTGTCCTGCTCTCTGCCTCGCTTTGCTTACCTGTAAAATGAGGAAGTTGGACTAGATCAGAATTTCCCAATTTAAGACATGCTTTGTGGGTATTCAGATGTGCTATATTTTTCAATAGCAGAGAAGGTTACCCCCTTTTCAATTCTCCTTCAATCCTTTGAGTCTATCATGAAAAAGAAAATCTTATTTTGATGGAACAAAGTTCTTACTATTCCTAACCTTTCATGATCTCCTTTTCTAACAAAAGAACAAGCCCTCAGCTCCAGGATTGCCAGCAAATTAACAAAGAATGATATTGTGCTCTGTTTGCTAAAGATCCTAGCTTTTCATTCAGATGATGATATGAATGAATGAAAGTGAGAGTTGACTTAAAGAAAAGTATTAGGAAATCAATACATTGATGTGGCAAAGGTGACGGTAGAACTGGAACGAAGATGGGGTGAGGAGTAAGGCCAGCTCCTGCTCCCATCTCCTGAAGTTCAGTTGTCCCCCTAAGAGAATTGAGAGCCCAGTGATGAACTATACCTTCACGTGTTCAAGGGAAAGCTATCTGTTCTGAAATAAAATCACGTCATCATTGTTTCTCATCACATTTGCTCATTTATTGAATCAAACAATACTTACTGAGCACATATGAAGGGCCGAGGCTGGTGCACAGAACATAGCACATGGATTTTCACAGGAGATGAAAGATCATTCAAAGAAAATGTTCTCACCTTCTTAATACCATTATGAGTCCCAAGTAAGTATCCATTATTAAAATTACCTTTAAATCCTCAATTATAGAAGACTTGATTTGGGGTGGTGAGCATTCAGGAAAATACTCAGATTGCCAGTGCACAAAATTTCTGCACTCAGGAGCGGGGGGCATGTCCCGAAGCCCAGCCTGCATCCTCTTGCATTCTGAAAGCCCTCAAAGGATGTCTGACTGATGGAAATCTTTAGCACTGCAGCAGAGGCAGGAGAGGCTCCTGCCACCACTACTGCACTTGCCAGCTGTGAGCCCAGCTTCTGGGTGAAAGGCGCTCCCCCTATGGGAGCACATTGACCACTAGGGGGAAGCTCCTGCATTGAGCATCTGCCCCCTAGTGGTCAGTGTGCATCATAGCAACCAGTTGTTCCACAGTTCAGTCAATTTGGATATTAGACTTTTATTATATAGGATTACTAGAGGCCCAAAGCACGAAATTGATGCAAGATCCTTGGCTCTGGTCCCTGGCTACCACCACTGGGGCTAGGGAACTCAGCCAACTCTGCTGTGGCCCCCACCGACTGCAGCTTTGTCCAGAAAGAAGGATGTCCAGAAGGCTGTCTGATCTAATTAACATATTATTATTTTATTACTATAGATAAACCTGAAACCTATATAAGTTCATTAACCAATGTCACCCCAATAAATTCAATAAAATTTTTAAAAAATAAAATCATCATTTACAAAAAAATGTAAAAAATCAACAAATTATTTGTTATAATTATCCTAGAGGCCCTGTGCATGCCAGTCAGGTGGGCAGCAATCAGGGCCAATCTGTGGGATGACCAGTGGGGTGATTGCCCCCCCACCCTCTGCTGGCACCTGCCTTGGCTGGCCTGGGGCCTGCAGCCTAGGGGAAGCTCCTGTGTTGAGCATCTTCCCCTGGTGGTCAGGGTGTGTCATAGCGACTGGATGTTCTACTGTTAAGTCAATTTGCATATTAGGCTTTTATTATGTAGGATTATATTTTACATATATTATGGTATTTTAAGTAATTAAGATAGGATTAAATATATAACTCATTTTTTGCTTGAAATGTAATTCTGTTCTACTTGGGAGATTTTGAAGGAATACATGAAAGATGAGCACATGAAGAGAGAGAGAAAAAGAGAGAGAGAGAGAGAGAGAGAGAGAGAGAGAGAGAGAGAGAGAGGAGCTATTAAGGAAATTGGTGGCAAAAAAAGAAAAAGAAAAAAAAACGCTCACTGCTTAGAGTGCACCAGTTCATTCTCTGGTGTTGACTAGAGGTGAAGATTAGCTCAGCAAAACATGGTTCATTTATTTATGCATTTATTTATTTTGAGTTTATATGCAACCACAGCAAAAAGTGAAATAATATTCAAGTATTGTAAAAAAAATTTGTTTTTAATTAGATTTAAGTGCATTCCAAGAGGAATGCTGAGAAAACATGCTTTTACGAGTCCAGTTGAGTCAATATGATCTAAGACTTTTGCTCTGCCCAATTCTAGTTGTCCATCTGAATTCCCTAAACTCCATCATCCTCATACCAGGTAGGAATCTGCCCTTGGTGTGAGCTGAAAAATGCCACCTTCAAATGACTGTCCAGCTGTCCACAAGGCCAATGTCCATCAAAGAAACAGCCAAGCCAGTCTGTAAACCCAGCCACACATGCCATGGGCCAGGGGCCACTATCCTCCAAGTGACCAGAAGAAGCATTTGTTTTTGTTTTGTTTGTTTGTAATTCACTGCCAATTTTTTAAAAATTCAGTTCACTAAAGTATGTAGACACCTTACGTCTTTTTCAAAAAGTATGGGACTGCAGGGCCCACTTGTTGACACAGTGGCCTACACTGGGCAAGGCTGAGCCCTTCGGTAGAAGCCCCACCCCACCCCTAGGAGCCATTGCATCATGCCTTGCTCTGGAGCCAGGTTCCCTTTTGTTCTGAGAATCTGGACAAAGAGGTAACCATTCTATGCAAACACATGTAAGGCAAAGAGAAAGAAGTAGCATAATTTGATTGCTGCTCTAATGCTGAGAGATTTTATTTTCACCAAGGCTCACAACACCCCCTCCAGGTATTAAGGAATGCTGTGTTCCTGTGGAATGTTGTTTTATGAATCCTACTGGGTAAAAAGTCCATGGGGCATAAACAGACTGGCCCAGGGCTAAGGCCTAAAAGGATGCTCTCCCCACAGCTTTGCTCTCTATCCTTTCCTGGCCCCTCTCTCTTCTCCTTTGCTATGTGTTTCTGGAGTATTCCCCAGAAGTAAGCTGCATCATCCTTTTTTCCTTTGGGAAGTAAAACCAGGAATAAGAGTTGGCAGTAGATGCAGGATGTGGAGACTAAGGAACTCGAAAAAATCATGAGATCACCTAAGTGATAGTTTCCAGGTAAAACTGGAAAATGGAGGTAAGCTCTCCTCTGAGGCTCAGCCAATGGAAGCCCAGCTCCAGGAGTCACCTTCTCAAATAAACTGGACTAGTGAGAGCTGAGGGCAGAGAGGAGGGTGACTTTCAAGGTGGGCTTTAAAAACTGTCCTGAGTGTTTTCAGGTCTCAACCTTTTCCTCCCACCCTAGAGGCTCTCTTGCCTTCTAATTTTTCAAATAAATTCATCTCTTATGATCCAATGAGATAGCTAATTAACTCAATCAACTCATTCATGTTAGGTATGTGCTTTACTAAGAGTCTATTGAAGCTCTGGGCCTTGAAAAGAGCATCTTTAATAATGGGAATGAAGATAATTGATGAAGGAGATATATTAGAAGCAAGCACATTCAGCAACCTTCTTACATAAATAAAGGCCCACCCCACCCCCAGCCAGGGGCAGGGTCCAATGGCTGAAAGACCTGTGTTTGGAGAGGAAGGCTTTGGTCTGGACATAGAGGAGCATATTCATTATAGAGCCAGCACTTCTTTCCATGCCTGGCTCACCAGTGCCCCCTAGGGACACCTCCTGAGTGAGCATGACTGGAGGGAGCATTTCAGCTAGTTTGAGGGAGACTTAAGAAGACAGTTCTTTTCCAATAATAATCTTGAAAGAAAAAATACACTATGGAACCCTCTTCCTTCTCTAAATGTTTTTTATGCTGTAAAATGGATCATGGCACTTGTTACCTTTCATAGGGACATTGTACAGTTTAGAGGAAGATGATGTAAGCATTAGTGTGCAAAAAAGGGGAGAGTAGCACCATGTGCCTGGAGTAGTGAGGACACAGATGCCTTTGATAAATGCTTGTTGGATAAATGGACACTCAGGAGGAATTTCAGGTGATTTCCAAACTTTCATGCTCAATTCTCACAAAACTCTTTTAGTTAGGCATTAAATATCTCATTTCATAAATAAGGAATCTGAGGCACATGGCATTAACTTTCTCACTGCAACATCCCATCTCGCTGTCCTCTCCCTTTCCTGGCATGGCCATGGCATAAAATACAGGACATTAATGTTTTCAGGGGGGACACATTCATGTAATCTCTATATATCTCAGAGTAATTGCTAATTATTGTACCACGCCCACCAGACATGCTTCTCCAACATGTTGTCACTACCCAAGTTTCTAAACACCATCTTCCCCAAACCACACACTTTTCCTCCTTCTCCAGCCACCAGAGCCTCTTCCCTCTGGTTCAGCAGGCATAAGTACACACCTAACCAAGAACCCACCACAGATGG